AAACGTTATTTCCTTGCTTTAAAAAGAAAATGTCGGTGACTTCCACTATCCGTTGCCTAGCAACACACGAGCAACTGTATTGTTAGAATCCCAGCCAGCGATAGGATAAAAGTTGGCCTTGATCAAACAAATCAAATAGCCCAGCTAAAACTTTAAAGATGGCCTCCACGCCCACGCGAGCCAACACACCGGAAGTTTCAAACGAAACCTCCGGGAACGCTGCATTGTCATCGTAAGCCTCAGTCGTCTGCAAGTGCGGAAATGGCGGCTCCCGGCCCACACGGCTCATAGAACCGGAGCCACTGAGAGCCATTGTCTGGGAAAGGTGTGAATGGCGAGGGGGGGTGGGGAGGGGTAGGCTGTCATTCAAACTGTAATCGATAGAAAAAATGGTGAGCCCGGCGTTAATCTCCATAATTTGATAGCCGGCCCGGAGTTCAAACATTATTGCTCTTCTGAGAAAGCCGGTTCATCTGCCGGTTCGTCTCAACCGGCTCATCCTCTGCCGGCCTGTATCTGCCGTAAAACCCTCAGGCGTACAGAAATATCCTCCGACAGGTTGAAAAGTGGACTGCCATTGAATTGGTCATTAAATTTGTATTAGTGAATAGTCTTTATAGTCCGTAATAAAGAAAAAAAAAACATGATTTAAGATGAAAATTTGATAATCAATAAGTAAAGATGGAAATGTGTTATATCGATTTCGTTTTTTTTTTGCATTCGTCTCTTAATTTTCTTTTCCTTAATTAAGTTTGTTTTTGTTATAAACTTTTCTTTAGTCTTAATGTTACTTCATAAAAACAATCAAAAGAAAATTTTCTCTTATTAGCCTTTATGTTCATGAGGTTACACGAATACGGAACAAAACGTTTTCAAAGTGATACCTCACACATACACCATCCATTGTTTGTTGAAGTTCAGCGGTAACTAATGATGAAGGTCTTTGAACAAAGATAGATGACTAAACATGTGTAGTAAAAAAATTGTATTTTTTATACCAGCTTTAGGAGATTTATGACTTTTTTTGTTAAATTACGGTAGATACTAAAAAAAAAATAAATAAAAAATTAAAGCAACATTGCAGTGTTTAAAATCTGTTAAAATGCTAAACTTTCCAAGGGGAAATAACAATGTTTAGTTTATTTTGGTAAAGTATTTTTATATAAAAATTGTTAGCTCCCCTAGAATTGTTTTACAGCTTATTCCAAACCTTTCCAAATGGTGATTTATTGTTGTAGATTCAAATTCAAGCTGTTAGCCTCAACAAAATGTAGACAGATCACGTGATTTATGACTGGACACTGGTCAACATGAATGTATTATGTTGTCAGGCACATTTGATGGTGTCTTTCTCTTTTGTCCAGAGGTTATAGAAAATGCAAACCTAAAATTTTTATCAAAGTCCATTTTTGTTTAATTTACAATGTAACCTTGACCACAAATTTAACCATATCCCTATATGTTTGCTTAACCCTATCCCTATCCCAAAACACATTAAGCCACTAAGCCTATCCTTGAACGCATCTCTTGCCTTATCCCTAACTTTATCTAAATTCCAAACCAACCCCAACCCTACCCTATCCTTAACCGTTTCTTTTTATCAAAGCCATTTGACCACAAACCATATCCCTAACCCCATCCCTGACCATATCCCTAACCCCATCCCTGACCATATCCCTAACCCCATCCCTGACCATATCCCTAACCCCATCCCTGACCATATCCCTAACCCCATCACTGACCACACCCCTAACCCCATCACTGACCACACCCCTAACCCCATCACTTGACCACACCCCTAACCCCATCACTGACCACACCCCTAACCCCATCACTGACCACACCCCTAACCCCATCCCTGACCCTATCCCTAACATTAAACCCAATCTCCAACCCTAAAAATAATAACATGGCTCATAGTCTAATAGACCGTTGGATATTTTGCCAATCGAACTCTTTACATTAATAATAGCCAAACGTTGTCCACGTAACCGCCCCCCCCCCCCCCCATCCCCTCTCTCCACACAGTTCATGGAACCAAGGGGGCGGGACGTTACCTATACATTTTGGCATCAGCTCTGTAGTAAGAGCTTCTCACAAAGAGACCAGAGTTGGTAATCTTCTCACCTAAGGGACTTTACTCTGTTTAATGTCGAGTTTTTCTCACATAGATGGGTTACTGTCCCCTGCTGTGCCTCTCACCTGCCCTCACCCTATTCCTTAACCTATCCCTATGCATCTCGACATGACGGTTTGTGTGTGTTGGGGGGGGGGGAGGTGGGGGGGATTGACATGAGGTCGTACTACTGATTCAGTTTTGGCGGGGGGGGGGGGGGTAGGGTAAAGGGATGCTAATTGTTCCGGAGGGTTACAACGCAGAAAATTACCGGAGGGGGGGGGGTAAACTGGTTGGGGGGTAGTAGTTGACTAGGTGTGTGTGTGGGGGGGGGGGGGATTGAGTAAGTGGGGGGGGGGTAATTGACTGGATGGAGGCGGGGGGTAATTGACTGGGTGGGATGATATGGGGGGGGGGGGGAAATGTCCTGCTCCTCATTTTTAGGAGTCTATATTTGAGTGAAGATGTTGTGCGTCTCGTCTTTAGAAAAAGTTTATTTGGTAGGTGGCTGAAAAAAAAAGGTGGAACGGGGGCACTTAAGAAGCATTAAAGGACTGTAGTTGATTTGTAGCTTTTAAAGAAGAGGGGGTGTGGTTCGTTGAAGGCAGAACTAGCGACGGTAACGGTTACCTGTCGTTCAAACAATGCCAAGCCTGTCTGCTATTTACCACCAGCTGATACCCTCATAAAACTCGAGTTCGCCGGTCACGGTGGAGAGGGAGAAAACTTCCGAGCAGGTAAATATAACTTATCTGCCCTTGTCTAGCTGAACAGTCGTGTCTTGAGGCTGTACTGCTGTTTGCCAGTGTAAGCTGTATCTCCCTGCTGTCCTGCTGTTGTAAGCTGTATCTGGCTGCTGTACAGCTGTTGTAAGCTGTATCTTGCTGCTGTCTGATGGTGTAAATGATGTCTTGGCTGGAGGAAATACTGGGGACAGAACTCTTAAGACCTGACAAAACTGTCGTCCAAGTGAGCTCCCTTGTTGACCATGACGTCATAGGTGAGTTGACACAGATTGTTACCAACGTTAAGATAAGTCGTTAATTTGATTTAAAACCCAGCTAATGCTATTGCTAGTATCCCAACTTAAACCTTCAACTGTCAGTGTGTAGGTGTAGGTACTAATTTAACCCCCCCCCCCCTCATTCTTCTACTGTAAGCTTTTAGGTTAAGCATACAGGTAAGCACAGGGTTAAGTTACATATCAATATCATACAATGCGGAACTTATGCTCGTACATTTTTATATTCATGCCATGTTATATGTGTGTGTACTGTATGAGTGTAGTGTGCATGTGTACTGTATGAGTGTAGTGTGCATGTGTACTGTATGTGTGTAGTGTGCATGTGTACTATATGTGTGTAGTGTGCAATATGCATACTGTGTTTGTATTTAATAACGTAAAAGATAAGCTGTGTTTTAATTCACCACTGTATAAATGCCTGTTTAATAAACCCTAATACACACCGACAGTTGAGTTTTAAAACAAACACTGGAAGAAAAGAAAAATATGGAATGTTGAACTGCATAAGGAAATAAATAACGTCAGAATTTTAATACGCTAAGGCTGCGTTATCTGGGCCGCATAAGTGATCAGATACCAGCTGAGTCTGCTCGTGACACGGTGTGTCGTAGCGCGTGACACGGTGTTGTTGTAGCATGTTACATGGTGTGTTGTAGCATGTTACATGGTGTGTTGTAGCATGTTACATGGTGTGTTGTAGCATGTTACATGGTGTGTTGTAGCATGTTACATGGTGTGTTGTAGCATGTTACATGGTGTGTTGTAGCATGTTACATGGTGTGTTGTAGCATGTTACACGGTGTGTTGTAGCATGTTACATGGTGTGCTGTAGCCTGTTACATGGTGTGTTGTAGCATGTTACACGGTGGTGTTTGTAACAAGTTACATGGTGTGTTGTAGTATGTTATGTTACGTGGTGTGTTGTAGCATGTTACATGGTGTGTTGTAGCATGTTACACGGTGTGTTGTAGCATGTTACGTGGTGTGTTGTAGCATGTTACACGGTGTGATGTAGGCATGTTACATGGTGTGTTGTAGCATGTTACATGGTGTGTTGTAGCATGTTACACGGTGTGGTTGTAGCATGTTACATGGTGTGTTGTAGCATGTTACAATGTGAGTTGTAGCATGTTACATAGTGTGTTGTAGCATGTTACACGGTGTGTTGTAGCATGTTATGTTATGTGGTGTGTTGTAGCATGTTACATGGTGTGTTGTAGCATGTTACAATGTGTGTTGTAGCATGTTACACAGTGTGTTGTAAATAGTTACACAGCTTGTTGTAGCACTTTACATGATGTGTTGTAGCATGTTACAATGTATGTTGTAGCATGTTACACGGTGTGTTGTAGCACGTTACATGGTGTGTTGTAGCATGTTACACGGTATGTTGTAGCATGTTATGTTACGTGGTGTGTTGTAGCATGTTACATGGTGTGTTATAGCATGTTACACGGTGTGTTTGTAGCACATTGCTTGGTGTGTTGTAGCACACTGCATGGTGTGCTTTAGTGAGACGCAATTGTCCACATATATCAACAACTAAAAAATCGTAAACTAGCAAATCATGTCATTATATTTAACTATTGGCTTAAATCAATGGTTAAAAATGATGAAAGATACAAATCGCAATGCTTAAATTATAAGGGGGGGGGGGGGGGGGGCGGGGCTTTGACTATTTTTTTTTGGGAAAAAAAAATCAAATCAAACTCCATGTCTTACCTAATTATGATTTTGTCAAATGCATTAAAATTTAAACTATTCACCTAGTCAGGGGGATCCAATATAGTTATGTTATCAAATTCTCTTTTATTTGTAGAACCTTTTAATTAAAACTCCCACCCCCCTGCCCCCCACCCCACCTAGGACTATATTTCTCCGCGGACTGGTGCCCACCGTGTGGGAAGTTCACCCCCACCCTGATGCACTGCTACCAGCAAGTGAGGGGGAGAGGCAAGAGATGGGAGATAATCTTCATCAGCTTAGACAAGGATGAGGAGAGTTGTCTCGCCTACCACAGTACAATGCCCTGGTTAATGCTGCCGTTTCACTCCCCACTCAGGGTAAGTCTGACGTGTCACCAGGCATCTCCCCGGTGGGGGGGGGGGGGGGGGGGTGGCAAAAGAGTCTACCGCTCTCCCCCCCCCCCCGAACTAACTGGAATTTATATGGAAAATATATACTTTTAACAGTGTCCGCCCCACCCGGAAATTTTAGTCCGCAACTCCCCCCCCCCCCCCCAAAAATGTCAAGTGCCCCCCCCCCCCCCCCCCCCCCCCCCCCCCCCCCACCGTAAAAAAAAGTCTAGAAGAAACACTGAAGCTAATCATTACACATGATGCTGTGTGTCTACAACCTAAACATAACATCATTCAGATGTTGCTTTGGGTTTATACAAATTGTGTAAGGGCCCTCGGGAGACATTTTCTAGTACATGTGTGTCTGTGTGGAGGGGGGTGGTAGTGTGTGTGTGGGGGGGGGGGGGCATTATCTCATAAGACGGCACCCACCGACTGTTCATTTTGGATCTAGGACAAGTCCCCCTCCCCCCTATATAACTACTATCTCCCCGCACAAAAAATAACCACTGTCTCCCTCCCCCTCCCTCCCCGTCAATTACCAACGAGGACAATTATCTACCCCGTTGGAATACATATTATACATATTATCTATCACAATCCATCTCCATATCCCTAATCCTAAAAATAGGGTTGTAGTTGATCTGGGGCATATTGAGGCAGGGGAGATGGGTATCTGTTTATTTTTTGGGACAATAAATCAAAAATAAAACTCACCGACAGTTTTTAATATCAGATAACATTTTTTTTTAAATTCTTAATTTCAAACTATTTTATTTTGTAATAATAGGAGGTCTGTGTAATTTGACCCCCCCCCCCCCCCCCACCCCCCCCCCCCCCCTCAACGAATCACACACACGCCTTGACCGCCATAAACATCACGTGATCCCCGTGTTAGTGTGACAGCTCCCTGCCCGTCAGGCCGTTGTTATTGAAATTAATTTATGTTTGAAGCCACAAGGTCGCCAGAAGTAGATATATCCACCCCCCCCCCCTTTTTTGGTCGTCTTAAATTAGGCTCGGGGATGTAATATGTACACATACACATTCTCATACACATTCACACACACTTCCGCACGCACACAAGAATGCACATTCGGGGAGGGGGGGGAATATTGAATCCCCCCCCAACGATTTCCTGCCAACGTCACTGTTAGTAACGCCTACCCCGCAACTGGGTGATGTCACCTTTCCTCAACACCCACAATAGTGCAATTGGATGTCACACCCACCCCGGATGGGTTCACCACGTCCCGTGTGATGTAGGCCTATTTGCATCGTATAAAGCACGGGTTCCCAACCTGGGGGTCGCGACCCCCAGGGGGGTCGCGAAGGTCTTTCTGGGGGGTCGCCAACTGGTATACTAAACCTTAGTAATTTGAAACAAAACATAAATATTTAGAAGAATTTTTGAAATTCGGCTTCATTAACATCACTGGAAATGTAATAGAGAAGAAACACAGCGCACTGTACAAAGTTGTTCTCAGTCACGAATCTATGAAATATTCAAAACTAAAACGTCATTTGAGACTAGTCATTCGAAACACACCAAAAAATATATGGAGTTCTTTCGTCGGTAAGAAGCTAGTTTCAAACGCCAGAGACTTGATCGAACAGGAAGTTTTCACCAGCATTAGTGCAAGCATCAAATGAAGTCGCGATAGAAAATGCCAAGCAAAAAAAAAAAAAAACAATAGGAGAAAATCTCATCTAACGCTGCATGTACGTAAATGTTAAATAACAAATTTTTATTGAAATTAAGCTTTCACCATTGTTTGCTTTTCAAGTTGATAAATCAACAGACGTGAGTTCGTGTTCGCAGTTGCTGGTCTGTGTCTATATTCATGCAGATGATAACAAAGAAGAGTTGCTTTTTTTGTGAAGATAGCATGGAGAAAATAAATACCTTTTTTTAAACTGGATGATTAAAATGTTTTAGAACGGCTGTTGGGGTTTGTACGGAGGGTGCGCCATCTATGTTTAGCTCAAAATCGGGCTTTCAAAAAACAGAAAAGATTTAGCTCCCTAACCACTGCCCTAACCAATCGACATCAAGAGTCCATTGCTAGTATAAGTCGTAAATTATATAAAATCTGGAGCCTTCAAAGAACTGAGCAAAAGCATTAATATAGATCACGAGGTTCTGCTCTTCTACACTACAGTACGCTGGCTGTCAAACGAAATGTTGTAAATTGTGTTTTTTAATTAAAATCTGAAATCAAATTGTTCTTGGAAGTGCAAAGGAAACAAGACTTTTTGGTATACTTAAAACGACATTTAATGGTTGGAGAGAGTATCATACCTAGTAGATGTGTTCGAACATCAAGATAAGTTTAACCTGAAGCTTCAGGGAAAATGAACGAATATTATAACTTTCCATGATAATCTCGGTGCATTTTTATCAAAGCTGCAAAATCGGTAAAGAAAATAAATCTAGGAAATATTGTAAATTTGAGAAACTCTGCTGTGTGGCAGATGACTCTGATTGTGAGATAATTAAAATTTGAAAGAAGCGATTTCTGGGCATCTTGAATCTCTTGAAAACGAACTACATGGCTATTTCTCTGAGCTGAAAAAAGAAGAATCTGCATTTACGTATTACCCATTTTCTTCTTCCCTTGATGTTGCCAGCATTTCCGATGAATTACAAGATGAATTCTTTGATTTGCAGAATGATTCCGAGTAAGATGAAAAACTGCAGACACAATTTTGGTGTAGTATTCACCATTCATACCCAAACGTAAAATTTATTGACTTTTCGAGACTATATTTTCAACACTATTCTTCGATTAAAAACAAATTAAGATAATTATAACGACATAGGTTGGCGTTAACAAATTTTTTTTTAAATTAAAAACTTAACCACGAAGGTTTAGTGAATAGTATGCAATTTTACTCATGCTATCAAAACAGTTATCAAGATTAGTTCATATTGAAAGTCTACTAGAAAATCTTATTTTAATGCTTATTAATTTCCATACTAATTTCGGCTTTTTAATTCAATGGGGGTCGCGGGTCACTTACTTTTTCTAAAGGGGGGTCGCCACTCTAAAGAGGTTGGGAACCACTGGTATAAAGTATAAGTTAAGCAGGCTTTCTAGATTGTATTTCCTGTTAGGGATTTAAGATTGACAAAAAAAGAACTTTAACCTTGAACAACTTAACTCTAACATCACACTCTAAATATGTACGGAGATGGTCGAGTGGTTAATGTGTTGGAGTTAAAGTCCAATAGGATTTTCCCGCGTAGTATCGAACCCTACTCTCGGGGACCTAGAGAGCTTGTAGTGGTTGTTTTTTTGTCAAGTATTTAACGTTTGTCTCAGCCCTACAGGCTCAAACAATATTGAAATATTTAATGTCTTAAAAAAAATATATTTCTCCTAGTTACTTCCCCTTAGTGAAAAGAATTTAATTTAAACAATTAACCTAGTTACTTCCCCTTACACTAACGCATGTTCAAATATTTAACTTAGTCGTTTCCCTTTATAAAGAAACTTGCAGACCAATTTTGTATTTTCTAATTTTTTTTTTAAATCATGCCAGGAACCAATGCCAAACAAGTACTCGTTGATTGGGATTCCAGTTTTGCTGTTGTTAGACCCTAAGACAGGGGGACTCATATCGGACACAGGGAGGGCACTCGTGACTCAAGATCAAGATGGGGTGAACTTTCCCTGGCAGAAAACATAACAGCAGACAAATTCGGATCAGGAGAGACTTGTTCAGCCTTCAAAAAGGTCTATTTGGATAATTAAGGAAGTATTCGTCAAGTTCGATTCTCTGTACTAAGTTCCAAAAGCGTCGAATATAACAAAAAAGAAATTCGAAGAGATCGCCTAATGACATGTCAACGTTTCTAGATATTTCTAAGTTCTGTGAATCTACACAGGCCGGCTGTACAAAGTGACCAACTATTTATAGCCAATATAATATTTTTAAAATTTGTGAACAGACGTTTGTGCTAGGCCGTGTAGCTTTTGCCCACATCCGTGCCCACCCCTTCTCCCAAACTTCACCTGACATTGCTCTTCAAACTTGAGCGTCCAGGTGTTGTTAGTTATTACCCTACCCAGGTGTAATTAGTTAGTACCCCCCCCCCCCCAGGTGTAGTTAGTTATTCCCTTAGTTATTCCCTTACCCTAAGTGTAGTTAGTTATTCCCCTACCACTAGTGTAAATAGTTATTCCCCTACTCAGGTGTAGTTAGTTATTCCCCTACCCAGGTGTAGTTAGTTATTCCCCTACCCAGCTGTAGTTAGTTATTCCCCTACCCAGGTGTACTTAGTTATTCCCCTACCCAGGTGTAGTTAGTTACTCCCCTACCCAGGTGTAGTTAGTTATTCCCCTACCCTGTGGATAGTTAGCTATTCCCTTAGTTATTCCCTTACCCTAAGTGTACTTAGTTATTCCCCTAACCCAGGTGTAGTTAGTTATTCCCCTATCCAGGTGTAGTTAGTTATTCCCCTTCCCCATGTGTAGTTAGTTATTCCAATTCCCCATGTGTAGTTAGTTATTCCCCTATCATAGGTGCAGTTAGCTATTCTCCTCCCCCAGGTGTAGATAGTTACTCTCATATCCCAGGTGCAGTTAGTTATCCCCCCCCCCAGCTGTAGTTAGTTATTCCCCTACCCAGGTGTAGTTAGCTATTCTCCTCCCCCAGGTATAGTTAGTTATTCCCCTATTTACTTACTCTTAACCCTATTTACCGGTTAGACTAATTGTACGCCTACAGTTTTTTTTTTTACTGTGGGTCCTATTATATTTATGAAAACTATTTTATTAAAATATAATAGTATTGACATATCTGTGGATTGTTCATATTTTTTGAAACCTTTGAAATGACGTGTTGTAAATAAAGTCTAAAATGTGTAATAGTAACATTATAGAAATGTAACAATACAGCATTCACCATTCTCCGGGCACGCTTCACACCATGTAGCCTAAATACCTGAAATTAAGTGGAAACTCTCGTTTAACTTTAGGTAAACATTCCAATATAGGCCTCCTTGATTTATATGTAACGGTTCGTTTTTTTTTTCATTGCTCGCACATTAATTTCAAAAGATACTGGATCTGGTTGTATAGTGTACTTAGTGTAATGCTGGCAGATAAAGTCATCCACGATAAATGCTGAGGCGTAGCGAGGGGGGGGGGGGGCGGGGGGGGGCGGACCGCACCGGTGACACCTATTAGGGGGGTGACACCAAGGCAAAAAAAATAGCAAAATAAATAAAGGAAAAATTGAGGGGGGGTGCAAACCGAAAGTTTGAGGGGGGATGCAAATCGAAAGTTTGAGGGGGGGGGGGTGCAAATCGAAAGTTTGTAGGGGGGGGGGGTGCAAATCGAAAATTTGTCCCCGGGATGGGTCGCTACGCCTCTGGGGGGATGACACCGGGTGACACCCGACCTCACTACGCCACTGGCCCCAATCCTTATTGTTGTTGGGGAAGAAACACAAACGAATTTCAATTAATTTTCAGAATTGCTTAAAACATCTAATACTTAGCTTTAACACCTTGCTGCCAAATGCCAATTGTATGCCAATTGTATGTAAGGAATCGATACCATGTTCTATAAATAGAAGATTACGCCGATAAAACTAGGCCAAGCTGTTTGTTGTGTTTCCATCTCAGTACACGACACCAGTCGGCCGTGCTAGCTACCGTGCGGTGTCTACTAGACTTAGGATCAGTGTTGGAATATTTGAAGATGGCTTTAGTCAAGCTGTTGGGGGACAAGGTTGTGGGCAAGAATGGTCAAGTGGATGTCTCCTCCCTCTCAGACAACGATGTTGTTGGTGAGTACTGTCTGTGTGTCCTGTGCGACGAGATGCACATCACTAGGTTTCGATGTTTATTCCAGACTATTTTCGCCGGGGGAGGGGGGGGGGGGGGGCAGACTACATTTTTCGGGGGAGTTGCGGACACTGGTAACAGTATATGTTTTCTATATGAATTTCGTTCCGGGGGGGGGGGGGGATGTGGGGGCATGCAACCTAGGCCTCATGCAGCATGTAATGTAGGCCTCATGTAGCATGTAACGTAGGCCTCATGTAACGTAGACCTCATGTATCATGTAACGTAGGCCTCATGTAGCATGTAACGTAGGCCTCATGTATCATGTAACGTAGGCCTCATGTAGCATGTAACGTAGGCCTCATGTAGCATGTAACCTAAGCCTCATGTAGCATGTAACGTAGGTCTCATGTAGCATGTAACGTAGGCCTCATGTAGCATGTAACCTAAGCCTCATGTAGCATGTAACGTAGGCCTCATGTAGCATGTAACGTAGGCCTCATGTAACGTAGGCCTCATGTAGCATGTAACGTAGGCCTCATGTAGCATGTAACCTAAGCCTCATGTAGCATGTAACGTAGGCCTCATGTAGCATGTAACGTAGGCCTCATGTAACGTAGACCTCATGTAGCATGTAACGTAGGCCTCATGTAGCATATAACGTAGGCCTCATGTAGCATATAACGTAGGCCTCATGTAGCATATAACGTAGGCCTATGTAGCATATAACGTAGGCCTCATGTAGCATATAACGTAGGCCTCATGTAGCATATAACGTAGGCCTATGTAGCATGTAACGTAGGCCTCATGTAACTTGTAACGTAGGCCTCATGTAGCATGTAACATAGGCCTCATGTAGCATGTAACGTAGGCCTCATGTAATGTAGACCTCATGTAGCATATAACGTAGGCCTCATGTAGCATATAACGTAGGCCTCATGTAGCATATAACGTAGGCCTTATGTAGCATATAACGTAGGCCTCATGTAGCATGTAATGACCTCATGTAGCATATAACGTAGGCCTCATGTAGCATGTAACGTAGGCCTCATGTAACGTAGACCTCATGTAGCATATAACGTAGGCCTCATGTAGCATGTAACGTAGGCCTCATGTAACGTAGACCTCATGTAGCATATAACGTAGGCCTCATGTAGCATATAACGTAGGCCTCATGTAGCATATAACGTAGGCCTTATGTAGCATATAACGTAGGCCTCATGTAGCATGTAATGACCTCATGTAGCATATAACGTAGGCCTCATGTAGCATGTAACGTAGGCCTCATGTAGCATATAACGTAGGCCTCATGTAGCATGTAACGTAGGCCTCATGTAGCATATAACGTAGGCCTCATGTAGCATGTAATGACCTCATGTAGCATATAACGTAGGCCTCATGTAGCATGTAACGTAGGCCTCATGTAACGTAGGCCTCATGTATCATGTAACGTAGGCCTCATGTAACGTAGGCCTCATGTAGCATGTAATGTAGGCCTCATGTAGCATATAACGTAGGCCTCATGTATCATGTAACGTAGGCCTCATGTAACGTAGGCCTCATGTAGCATGTAACGTAGGCCTCATGTAGCATGTAACGTAGGCCTCATGTAGCATATAACGTAGGCCTCATGTAACGTAGACCTCATGTAGCATGTAACGTAGGCCTCATGTAGCATGTAACGTAGGCCTCATAGAGCACATAACGTAGCATGTAACGTGTTTACTGTGTTATACCGTGAGACGTGTGTTGTTTTATTTACGTGTCGTAGCCATGGAGATTCGACAAACTGTGCAGGTGCATCAGTCAACAATCAAGTCGAGTTCGATATCGATCTCATCTATTGTTTTGTCTAAACTATCTGCATTAGTCATGTAGTGCCTAGATAATTACTCCTTACTGTAACGTACAGAGCATGTTTAATGGTAAGGTGTCCATAATTTCAACGATGTGGAGTCACTGTGACGATGTGGGCCTAAATATTTGTAAAGAAATTTAAAATAACGGAGGGAAATATGTGTCGTTCTCCACACCCCCCCCCCCCCCCGTTAGTATGCTGAGATCTACGGCCTTAAGTTAGGTATAAGAGGAGTGTCTGTTGATGCGTGACGTGTAAAATACGATGAACGTGTGGATGTGTGGGGGGGATGTAGGTGGGTGGGTGTGGGTGGGTGGGTGAATATGTGTGGGTGGTTGTGGGTGGATTTGTATACAAGTAGAACAAAATTACCGGGGAAAATTTTCATTCCACTAGTAACCTAAATACAAGACGTTTTAATAAGCAACGCGTTGATCAGCCGAGTGTGTCGATCATAGGCTAGCACTCGTGTCCAACTATTTCAGCATTCAATGAATAACTACCCTAAATAGTTTCAAAATATACAATAATGCAGCAAAAAAATATTTTATAGACACTGTCCTTCCTGATGACATTGTATAAGCAACCTCTACTGTCTAGGAATGGAAATAAACCTAGTGAACTCGCCTAAAACTTTTCTTGTAGGCCTATATTCGTTTATTTAACAATAAGGGTCGTAATAGCGGAAAGCGCTTTCGATGGAAAAGGGCTGTAAAAATGGTAGGTAAGTTCGGCGAAACCGCTTGATTCTTGAGGGGCGGAAAGTTCTTAGATTATGCTGCTTATGGGATTATGATATACAAGTATCAAATTCTAACGTTTTGTTGTGTTTTTTTTTTTGATAAATCGGAAATAGAGTATCACCTCCTGTTTAGAGAGATAACTTAAAAATGAATTTAAAAAACATACGTGTAAAAGATCTACTGCTTGTAATTGGAATGTCTTGCCCTCAACTGAGACTGGGTATCGAGAAATATACCACTTCCGGTTAGTTTAAATCATCAAAAAAGTCGAGTGACACCAATACCTACAATATAATACAGTTACATATAAACTTTTGTCCACCTAAAGATACTCAACTAATCGTGTTCACACACCATATAGAAAAGATTACACAAATGTTTTTACTACTAGGGAAAATGAAAAAGATAAGTGTACTAATAAAGATCAAATTGCTTCGTTTCTTCAGGGTTCAATTTTTGTTTTCCCCAGGTTTTTACTTCTCTGCCCACTGGTGTCCCCCTTGCCGTGGGTTTACGCCTGTTCTTGCAGAATACTACACCAAACTAAGAAATGCTGGGAAAAAATTTGAAGTGGTCTTCGTCAGCTCTGATAGTGATGAGGCGTCGTGCCAGGAGTATTTCAACAGCATGCCATGGTTGTTGCTACCGTATGAGGAAAGGGATACAAAGGTCTTAGACGCATTTTTCATGTATACACAAAGCTAACCTACCCCGACCAGTCACGCTACATTCTGTTGTAACATTTTACACAGCCACCATTATTATTACTTACATCTTGAAGAGTTCCCAAAGTATACACACTTTCAAATGAAATTGCAAAAAAAAAAAAAAAAATCAATGTCGGATTGCATACAAAATAAATAAATCCTGGATTTAACGAATTTTTTTTTAAATAATCATATATATATATTATTTCTATTACAGGATGAACTAAGTAATACCTATGAGGTTAGTGGTATCCCAACACTTGTCCTGCTAGATGCTAAAACTGGGGACATCATCTCTACAGATGGTGATGAGATTATTTTATCAGACACAGATGGTGACAAATTTCCATGGAAATAAAAAAAAATAGTTGATTAATTTTTCTAAAAAATGTAGCTATTCATTAATTATAACAGGTGACATGTATTTTCATTTTTTGCTTAGTTAGCAATAAGTTCAAGACACCTAGGTTATAATTTAAGTACTTGTTAGTGTTTTTAAATATTTAGTTTGAACACTGTTAGTATGTGTAATGCTTACAAAATTATTTACCTAGATCTGAATTACCACTTGAATAATGTAATGTACCTGATCATTACATCAGATTTAACAATCGGATGTTTCGTTATAACGCAGCATTTTATTGTGATATGTAACATCATATCAAGTTTATTTATTATATACTTACAATATTTTTACAATATTTTTAGAATGTTGATATTATTTCTGAAACAATATTTTATGTACTGGAAGCACAATGTTTTGTTTTGTTTATTATGAATAAAATTTGATTTTTGTATGAGGTTCTTGTTTAAATTTGATAGACATAAAAACTTTCTAAATCCCAAAAATTAGACGTTAAATCGTATTATGCAGGCAGTAAATGGCTAGTTAATTAAAATAAACCTGCCTTTTCACTTTAAATCACTGCCAATATATTTATTTAATAAGAATTTTTCAAACATCAAATTAACATCAAGCTTGCAGATTTACTTACTCTACATTAAAAAATACCATTCCTAAACCAAAATCTTCAGATCGAATTGGTAAGGATATATAATACTAAGAAATAAGTACATGTTGCTAATTGATAAACGCAAACACATAGATATAGATCAGGTTGTCTTCTTTCGAGCCGATAAGAAATTAAACTGTTATAAATGGTTTCCATTGTAATTCCTAAAAATAAAGCCAGTCAAACCAGTAGTAGCCATAGACCAGTTTTAATCAAGTTTCAAACCAAATTGTACAACGAGAGATTGGAAGTTAGCACAATCTTTGATATAAATACTAGAACTTATGTATGCCTACTGGTAGAGTCCACGTATTTTATAAACTTTATTTCCATTAGAGTAGGTTTTTATTTTCAAAATTTAAAGTAGTAGCTATAAGGAAAAGTAGAGTTTTGAGGCCAGTACAACTTTATGGCTTGGAGACCTGGAGACTACATACAGTCGACTACAGTCGTTCACAAATAATGTCTAAGACAATTCCTTGCCTTAAGACAAAATGGCCAAACAAAATGTCCAACAGACATGAATTGCGGCAAACTACCAAGCAACGACCGACAGACAGTGATATTGTAACCCGCAAATGGAAAAGGACAGGGCACATCATGAGAAGGGAAAAGATCAACATCGCTAGGCAAGCGTTGGACTGAAACCAGGGGAGAAGAAAAGAAGGCAGACCTAAGTATTCTGGAGACAGTGGAAGAAGAAGCAAAGGCCCTCGGCTAACGTGGGCTCAACTAAAGAGAGATGCCCAAAACTTGGTTCGGTGGAGAGGTGTGGCTGCAGCCCTTAGCTCATTAAGGGCTTTACAGGATCAGGTCAAATCAAGTTTAGTTGATGGACGGAAATACATTGGGAGAAAAGCGTTAATGATGCTATTATAGAATATTCCAATCTACTCATTGAAAAGATGGCGTGTAGTTAAGGCGTTTGAAAATAAAATATCCAATGGGATCTTCCGGCTTGGTTAGAACTTTATTCTTAGCACCGCGTGCTTATCGCGTCTAATGTTTTTTTATTTGGTCAAATATTTAACGTTCTTTGCTTTCACTTAGGCTTCAAACACAAAAAGGTTAAAAAAATCAATTTAATCAATTCCTATTATTGAAAGAAATCTATATTAAATATTTAAATAGTTACTTTTCTTGCTTAAAAGTGCTTAAGCTATTCACACTCCTTTATTTTTAAAAGCAGTTTTCACATTTAACATTATTATAAATTGAGTTTTTTTCTAGTGCCCCTTTCCGTCAAATATGCCAGGAACCAATGCCAGACAAGTACTCGTTGATCGGTGGCGGAACTAGAAAAAAAGGGCCACCCCGCAAAAAAATATTTTTGGGCCCCATATATATATATATATATATATATATATATATATATATATATATATATATATATATATATATATATATATGTATATGTATATATGTATATATATGTATATATATGTATATATATATATATATATATATATATATATATATATATATATATATATATATATATATATATATATATATATATGTGACCTAGGCTAGTTGCATCTTTCCTGTTCGCAACGCCAAATGTGACCTTCCCCGAGTCTATCATGCCCGACAACGCCAAATGTAACGAGTTGAACCACTCATGCTACACAACATCGACTACAGTAGAAAGACTCGAAGATGCAGGTTCGCTATTGATCCTTTTATTACATGAATCAAGAAATGCTTCAATATAACACAATGAATCAACAGAAATGTTTCACAATAATAGTCTGAATCAACTGACCCCCTAACAGTCCTCACTAGGCTTCATATAACTGAATCCACATGTCTATTGTCCTTCTTAACACAATATAACCAACTTGAGTATGTCACACAGACTGACTGATCTAAAGCGAGCGATGAAGATGGAAGAGAGCTCGCAAACGGGAAGAGAAGAGCAGAGCCCTGCCGTGCCCTCCTATTTATGCCTTGTATCCGTACTCGTCCCCGTACTTGTATTCCTCCGTAATCGATACTTGTACTCGATCTCCGACCACCAGTTGCGTAGTTCAAACGTACAGACCGTAAAATAACATCTGCGTCCTATCCATCAAAGCCGACAGGCCGTCTGAATACCGTTTCCCAAAATAGCACGCGCCGGCTTTGAGGTTGTTATCAGCCCGACCCAATAAGCTACCTGTTATCGGTTGCATCAGACCAACACCGTGTCTCGGCTTCTCGTTCGTTATCATTTGTAACTGGTAGTTAGGCCTACCCCAGTTACATCCACCCCTGCTTTTTTGTGTGTTTTCAACCACAAACAACGCCTGGCAGGTGCACTCCTCCAAAGTCAATCGCACAGTCGTAAAAAAAAAATCTATTGTTCCACTCACTGTCCACGACGTTCCATTCGTATACGATTGACAGTTCTACCTATTTCACATATCAACTGTGTCTACACCATCTTTCTGAGACACAAAACAGTTCTAGAATTCACATCCACCCTTTCCATTTGGTGCCTTCACCAGTTCACTTCTATAGCTCTTTGAACAGTCTGTTTTCATACCAGCGCGACCATGAAAGAATTGATGGTTGCTGACAAAAAATTTCGTATTCCTTCTGTTCCTTAAACTTCTCCGCGGACCACTTATCTGATGGTCTACTGTCTCTCTGCTTCTGGAAGGACCGGGATCCTCATTGTTGCCGGTATCCTCCCCTTGCGTATCGCTGTTGTTCTGTTGATGGTGATATGGTTCCGGAATGGGTATGTGACTTTCCGTTATAACTTCCGGTTCCCTAATTGTCTTGGGTTTCTCTGTGTGTAACTGCTCTTCTTGCCTATTCCAATATTTCTTTAATTGAGCAATATTCGCCCACCGATCCGGTTTGGCGTGATCGATGGGTCTTATCTTAAAGGGGCCACCTGCTGCTTTAGGCATCTCCACGACTTGCCATATCTCCTGTCCCCAGAGATCGTGGATTTTGTTTCTGCCTAACGGGTGACTACGCAGTAATACCCTGTCATTCAGTTTGAGTGGCGGGTCCTTTGTCTGTATCGGCGGTTCCCTTCGCCGAGATTCATGTTCTAGTCTTTCCTGTACTACCCTGTACATTTCTCTAATTCTTCTCATATGTTCATTCACATATTCCAGTGCGGTGTATGAGCCAGTCATACTCTCCTTTTTTCCTAAGAACAAATCAAGAGGGAGTCGAGCCTCTCGTCCGAACAGCAACATGTATGGCGAAAAGCCGGTTGTGGCATGGGGTGTGCAGTTGTATAGATATACCAACTCTGGGAGAAAATCAGGCCAACGTTTTTTCTGTTCAGGTTCTAGCGTACGCAGCAAATCATGCATGCTGCGGTTGAACCGTTCACACTGTCCGTTTCCTTTCGGATTAAATGTGGTTGTTCTAGATTTGTTGATCCCGTAGTGGCTGCACAGTTGGTTAATTACTTCTGACTCGAAAGCCCTTCCTTGGTCAGAATGTAATTGTCTTGGTATGCCATATTTGATGAACCAATGTTCTATTAAGACCTTTGCCACTGTTTTGGCAGTCTGATCTCGCGTGGGCACCGCCACCGTCCATTTGGTGAATACATCAGTCATTACCAACACATGTTCCGTCCCATCCGATGATTGCTCCAACGACGTAAAATCCATAGCCACAATCTCTAGTGGTTTTGTCGCTAGTAGGTGTCCTGATGGCTGTCTCAATTTGACAACTGGCATTTTCGCATGCTGACACCTCACACAAGCCTCACAATGGCGTTTGACCTCCATTTCCATATTGGGCCAGTAACCCCTCCGTCGTAATATTTTGTGGGTTCTGTCCTGACCCTGGTGTCCTGCCCTGTCATGTGCCAACCTTAGCACTTCTTCTCGTAATTGTCCCGGCACCACCACCTGGTGTATTGTGCCATCAATTTGGTCATGAATTCTCCGCATGAGAACACCATCCTTTATACTGAGACGGTTCCACTGACTCAGTATTTTCTTTGTTTCTCGACCAAATTGTTCTCTTTCCCTTCTTCCTGGGAATTTTTGTTCCTGGACGTATTTCAATAGCGGTTGTAAGCCACTATCCGTTCTCTGGGCATCTCTTATCTTTTGGTGATTAAGGCAATTAAAATCACTACTGTCCATATGTTCGGGTTCCGTGGATATGTGCTCCACCCCGGTCTGCCCGTTCTGCATCACTTGTACCCCATGAGGGATATCTGTTGACGCTCTGACCTCACATATTCCTGTCAGCGTTTCTTCCTCATCACCCGGTTTCTCGTAAGGATTCCTTGATAAGGCGTCCGCATTGCCATTGGACCGCCCCGGGCGATACTTTATCTCTAGGTCAAAGAGTGCCAATTCTGCTGCCCATCGCTGTTCGATGGATCCCAACTTTGCTGTCTTTAGGTGGCTCAAGGGGTTATTGTCAGTGTATACCACACATTTAGCACCTAATAGATAGTCCCTGAATTTCTCAGTCACAGCCCATTTTAATGTCAAAAGTTCTAGTTTCATGGCGCTGTAATTTGTCATGTTCTTCTCTGATTCCTTCAGAGCTCGACTGGCATACGCAATAACCCTGAAACCTTGCTTTTGTTGTTGTGATAGCACAGCTCCCAGACCTTTAGAGCTGGCGTCAATTTCTAGCCGAAATGGTTTGTCAAAGTCTGCGTATCCCAATATCGGCGCCTCTGTCAAAGCCTTTTTCAAGAGCTTAAACGAGTTCAGGCATTCATCAGTCCATAATTCACCTATCCGTTGTGTTTTACCTTTCTTTTTCTCCTTACTGTGTTTCTTTGTCATTTTGTTTACCAAGTCATG